TCTTTGCTGTTGTTGTGGGTTTGTGTTGTTTTTGGAGGGGGTTAGTCCTCACTGCAGTGACTTGCACCTGTGTATTTCAGATCTTTTCTTCAGTTTCTCAAGATCATTCCCAGAGCACTAATAGCTTTTTCTGTTATCGAATGTTCAGAAAAATACGTCAGGGAAAATGTCAGGAGGAGATGGAAAACCATTTTGGAAAACTCCAAAAAGGGGAAGAGTGAGCCAGTAGAGGCTTGGAGTCTGATAATCTCCTGTGGGGAGCAGCCTGGAGGAATTGTCGAGGAGCTGTGGAAGCCAAGAAGTTTGGGGAGCTCACTCAGAGCCCACCTGCTCTTCAGCCACAGGGGAAAAAAGGAGAAGAATGATCAGAAACTGCGGTTTTCTTGCTCTTGGCACAATGGAAGGATGTAACCTCTCCATAAAATATCTCCACCTTTATTGCTGAGCTACTGCTCTGAAACTTCCTTGCTGTGCCAGGCACTGGAGGAGCTGTGGGAGCAGTGAGGGGTGTCTCCCTCTCCAGGAGCACTCTGTGCTCCCTTTCACTCGCTCAGTTGCTGATATTTTGGAGGCAGAGGTGACAGCAGGGGTTGTTCCTGAGGAACAGTTTCCAGAGAGAATCCTCCCCAGTGTCACTCTGGGGGTAGCACTGGGAGGGAGCTCCTGCTCCGCTCCCGTCACGCCTGGCATTTGGCAATTCTTGTTCCAAAATAGGAATGCCAAATAAAGCTGGATTCCAAAATGCTTCGGCTCCCCTGAGCAAAGCAGTATTTACAAGGACAGAAATAGATGTAGCATGGTATCAGCAGCCCTTTAATGCATGTTTTAAATACTAGGCACTCCTCCGGGGGAAGGAGCAGGGAGAGTTGTAGCTGTGCATAAATAAAATGCCCAAGCTGTAAATAACAAAGGGGAGCAGAGGTGAAAAAATCAGGCCTTTTGGAGAGCTCATGACTGGACCTTGAAAATTCCTAGAAAGTGTGATTTTAAAAATCAGATTTTTCTTTCCCCTTTTAATTTCAACAGTTTTAAGAGGGAATGCTTAATTGAGATCAGGTTGCCAGTGGCACAGTTACGCTCTTTAATTATCTGCTGTCGCTTCTAGATGACCTTGGAATTTATTGATGTGGAATTACCAGTCCCTGGTGTTTCCATCTTTTACATTTTTGCAGCACCAGGAAATTTTTTCTCCTCCAGACAGATCCACCTGACATCTCCTCCATGACCACAAATCAATTAAATGGTCTTGCCAGGATTGCACAATTTCACGGATTGAAATCCAGAAGTTGTCCTTTACTGCAGGCTGTGGAGAAAACTGTGAAATGTGATAGAGTAGGAAACAACACCCATTTGGGAGCCAGGCCAGGCTGCATGAGAAACTGAGAGCTGGAAAATTTTATATATTTAAAAAAATTCTTCACTTCTGTTTGAAACTATTTTGAAACTTGAAAGTTTTTTTTCTGTTATATGGTGCAAGGAAAAAGCTCCAGAACACTGAAGATGACACTGCCATTCCTGTTTTAAGCAGAGGGAGAGCAATCTGGAAGGTTCCCATTGTCTGAGGGAGAGCAAGGACCAGAACCTCAGAGCCTGGGCCACAGCGAAATCACCCAGAGATTCTGGATTTCCTTTTCCTTGGGAGCTTTCTCATTGTCTATAAATCTAAGGTCAAGCTGGTCATTTGGGGATCACAGCACAGCTTCTAATTCTGCAGGTTTGAATTTAATCATGAACTTCAGAAGCCTTTTCTGATAAAATTTTCATGAAAATTTAGTAAGACTCTTGTTTCAACAAAGTAATATTTCTTTGTATAATCCCTAACCATTTTTATTCATCTACTACTGAAACAGAACTTTTATCCTTTGTGCTATCAAAAAACTTCATCCTGTAATCCAAAGTATTTATGCAAAGATTTCCCAGAAGCAAGGAAAAAAACCCCAAAACTCATCAAAAGAGAGATGCCAGAATTTCTTGAAACACATCAAATATCTGTGACTGGGGAATTTGTGTAAAATAACTTTAACAAGTGTAGTCTTTTCAGAAATCAGGCTTTATAAAATTCAGAAGCAACAGGGTAATGCCCTTTTACGTGGATTTGAAAGGAACTCAGTGGAACAAATACACGAAGTGTTACTGATTCTATTTTCTTTCAATAACTGTAAGCCTCAAATTCCCACTGGGCTCCCTCCTTCATTGCAGCAGTTGATCCTGCTCTGTTTTTAGCAGGAATTGCTGATGCAGGTGGTGGGGTTTGGAATCCAGCCTGCCTTCCTTGCCCAAGGAGATGCCACCCAAGAGGGAATTGCCAGAGTTAGGGGCTGACACGGGTTCTGACAGGCAGTTCCTAGAAGAGGAGGGAAGAGAAACTTCTCAAGTGACAAATACTAAAATGGGTGAAACAAATGCTTTCAGTGGGGTTGGATGGGAATGTTCTTGTGTGGAAGAATCAAGTGACACAAATATACATATATATTTATATATACACACACACACATCTTTGGGTGGTGCTGGGAACAGAGCCCTGCGGGATGCTGACAATTCCAGCAGAAAGTGGGCCTGGGAGCAGGAACCACAGCCAAGCTGCTCATTCCCTGAAGGTGAATCTGCTAACCCTGGCAGCAGCAGAGCTGAGACTTTGCATCCTTTCATTCCTCTGCTCTCAGATCTCCCTGAGCCCTGGGACTGAGGCAAGGCATGTGCACTTGGTTTCGCCTTCTCCCCTGCCAGTTCCCCAGAAGTTTCTGGTGGCATCCAGCAGGGATTGTTGTTTTGATGTGCTGATGGTGCTTCACAGAGAGCTCAGAGTGATTCCTGCCTGTCAGCTTCTGTGTAGTCCCACAGCAATCAGCACTTTTTAATGGAGCCAGCTAATAAACCTGCTAAATTCTTTATAGAACATTTTAGGACTGCTTCATCTGGACCTGAGGAAGGTTAAAAACTCCAGTTGCAGTTTACAGGATGGGGAACAGCAACTGTCTGAAGTCTAGAAAGCCTGGCTTCAGCATATGGAAATAATTAAAAGCAACATTTAAAGTGTCTTTTGTAAGCAGAGATTGTGTACCAAGAACACTCTCTAATACTGACAGGGACAGCTGGCACAATCTAGCTAAAGCCTAACCTTCCTCTATTCCCAAGAATAAGAGATGAATTGTCCTTATTTAGACAAATATTGCAGAGTTGTCTGTTCATTTCAATTAGCAACTTGTTTTGTTCATTTAGGTTAGGTTTTCCTTTGGCCTTTGATAATTTTTCTCAAGTTAGCATGCCTAGCTGTGACTTCTGACAGGACTAAATCTTCTCCAATCTTAGTTTACATCGTTGTTTAATGCTTGTAATATTAGGGCTTACAAGGACCACAAAGCTGACTCATGAGATTTAAAAAAAAAAAATTAAAAAAAATAAATGGAGGAGGGTTTTTTCAGCTGTTTTTTTGTGGTTTAGTTTGGTTTTGGTTTGTTGGGTTTTTTTGTGGTTTTTTCTGTGGGTTTTTAGTGTTTTGTGTGGGTTTTGTTTTTTATGCTGCGATTGCTGATTCTGGGCCAGTTTGAATTCTGACACTGGAAATAAAACTGAACTCCTGTAATATTTCTGGTGTTACAGAATAATGAAAGCACAATGTTGCACCAGGCAGCAGTTTGGGGAGCCTGGCAGTAGTGGGGTCTGGTAGTGTGGTCTTTTTATGTGACGTTGTTGACATCAGGATTGCTTTTGGCTACTTGGGCAGAAGCTTCCAGCTGCACTCTCACTGAATTTTCATGGTTACCCCTTGCTGCTCAAAACCAACCTTGGAAGCCTGCCTTGTTTCTGGAAAACAGCCTCAAATTTCTTACAAGAAATAAAGGTCAGATTTGAAACATTGATGCTACAAAGAGACAGAAACCCCTGCTTGCAGATAAATCCTTCGCTATTTCAAAGAGACTGGCCCCAGGTCTGCCTGCAGAACCCTTCAGAAAATCCCAGCCAGGACTTTTCCTGCCAATTGCTGTGCAAAACCACCCCTGTGTGGTCACACAGCATCCAAGGGTAGCCCAGTGTCTGGGTACCACATTCTCCAGCTGATGGGCAAAACCTGGCTGTGCCCAGAGCAGCTCACTGGAGAGCTTTTCTGTAGAGCCATAAAGCACAGCAGAACGCTGAGCCATTTAAAACCCAAACATTTGGCATCTCCAGTCTCACTGCTCTCCTCCACAGCCATGCTGGCTTTTAGCTTCCTCCTTTTATTAAACTATTAAATTGGGAATTTTTATTACTCCCAATTTAGCACTTCTAATAAAAAGTCACAGTTAAAAGCCTCTGTGGGTACTGAAACTTGCAGCTGTGATTTCTCTTGATGAAAATAAAGACAAGCCCTGCTTTTAAAGCTCACCCCTGTCATGGGGTGGCTCCAAATCAGAGGGAGCTGGGTGGGATAGCAGCTGAGAGGGAATTATAGCAGCAGGAAGGGGTGAGGAGTAAGGAGAGAAGGTGGCAGCAGAAGAGAAATATTAATTAGGTGTTCACAGTGCAGCTGCAGTATGAAAATACCTCAAAGCCTAGATATAGTCCAAAACCCCTCACTGCTTTATTACAGAACTTATTTAAACATGACATCAGTGCTAAGTAGCAGTGCCTGGGAGCTCACTGGAGAGGCTAATTTTACCTTTAATGGGCAGTTCTGTAGTGTGCAGTGGTCTTGATGAGTGCCCACCCCAGCAAAACTGTGGCAGCAGGGTGAGGGAGCCCATCACTGTAAATCCTGCAAAGTCACTGTAAATCCTGCAAAGTGGCTGTTTGAGACTGACTGCCTGGAAAGGGCAGCTTGACACCTTGACCTGGGGACTCAAAGCAACAATACAAGAAATTTTAGTACAAAGGAAGTTCTTTTCTATGCAGCTTCTTAAACTGACCTTATTAGCTTTTACTGGGAAAAAAAAAAAAAAAAGAAGAAGAAGGAATATTTTAGAAGTGCAAGAATATATTTTTTTAAACTATGTTTCTGCTGGAAATAAATCTTTTCATTAAGAAAAAACCACTGAGATGAAAACTCTGATATATCATGATTTGAAGTTTTCTATCTTAAGGTAAAGTTTTTTATGGTCCCTTATGTGGGAGGAAGATAGAATATTTTCAATTACTAAAGTTGAATTCAAAGTTACCGGACTGGACCGCAGGAGTCAGTTCTGGGATAAGAGGAATTCTGAAGGCAGGAACGGTGTCTCCTGCAGGGCCTTGGAAATCTCCAGGAATTCTGCTCTTCTCTGCTACCTCTGCTTTTCCCTCTACTGAGGAAATGAGGCCGCTTCCCCAGAGGGAGCTTGCATGGCTCGTAACTTAGTGTGTGTTTTATTCCAAAGCACATCCCAGAACCACAGACCTACAGAACTACAGACCCCCGAAATAAAAAAGGATAAGAGCATAAAACTGCCCCCTCTTTCATTGTGTGTCTGATGACCAGAGCTGTCACAGCTGAACAGCTGCTCAGATGTCTCATCGTTTACAAAGCACCGCTGAAGGCTTGAGGGGGAAATATTCTTTCATTGAAGACAAAACTCCCTTTGATTTCTGCTGGAGCTGTATTTCAGGCTTACAATCTGATGGTGCACTCAGTTGTGTCAGAAAACAGGTCAGTCCATCCAGACCCATCTTCAGAAACATTCCTCAGCAACGTGACTGGGTTAAATTTAGCTCCACCGATTTTGCTGAAATTTCCTTGAATGCCTTGAATTCCTGTGCTGGAATTGGATGATAAACTGTGGGGGTTGCTGGGGCTGAATAACCTTTGGTGCTGTCTTCCCTCCTCAGCTCTCCCATCCCCTCATCATGTTCTGGGAGCGAGGCAGTGGTTTTTAACCTACTCAAAGTGTCCCTGAGGCCAAAGCCAGGATGTGTTTGTGTGACAGGGTGCCCCTTAGGACAGCAGACTTTAAGGGATGGCAGGTCTCTGTTTTTGGCAGTGCTGCACATCTGGGCCAGCTCAGGAGTGACTCTCCTGCTCTTGGAGGCCACTGCTCCTGCCACAGCTGGCTGTGGGAGAAATGGTGTCCACAGAGCTGTCCCAGTTCCATCCTAGGACTAACATCCCTTCCTGCCCACGTGTGTGTGGGGCATTCCTCATCCCTGGGCAGGGTTTGTGTGTCTCTGGGAGCCCCCATCTGTTCTGTGTAAGTCCTGAGTACCCCCTGAGTGTTTGCTGGTGCTCAGGAAGGAGGCACATCAGCCAGAAGTTGTTTTGCTCCACTGCCACCCCATCAGCTGCCCTGATGTCACCACACAGTCCCCAGGCTTTCAGCAGGTAGAGCAAAGGTGTGAGACCACAGCCCAGAGCTCAGCAGTGTCACCATGGCCCAGAACTCAGCAGTGTCACCACAGCCCAGAGCTCAGCAGTGTCACCATGGCCCAGAGCTCAGCAGTGTCACCATGGCCCAAGACTCAGCAGTGTCACCATGGCCCAGGACTGAGCAGTGTCACCATGGCCCAGGACTCAGCAGTGTCACCATGGCCCAGGACTCAGCAGTGTCACCATGGCCCAGGACTCAGCAGTGTCACCATGGCCCAGAGCTCAGCAGTGTCACCATGGCCCAGGACTCAGCAGTGTCACCATGGCCCAGAGCTCAGCAGTGTCACCATGGCCCAGGACTCAGCAGTGTCACCACAGCCCAGAGCTCAGCAGTGTCACCATGGCCCAGAGCTCAGCAGTGTCACCATGGCCCAGGACTCAGCAGTGTCACCACAGCCCAGAGCTCAGCAGTGTGACCATGGCCCAGAACTCAGCAGTGTCACCACAGCCCAGAGCTCAGCAGTGTGGCTGCCTGAGGTGACAGCAGTGGCTCAGCTTCTGGGCAGTGGGGAAGGGACAGTGGCCACAGGGACACCAGTGAAGAAGTGAAGAGATATTTGGGTATGAGCCAGTGAAAAGTTAAACACAATTATTCCGATGCAGGGAGCAGTGAGGGATGTGCCTTTGTGCTTGCACTAATCAACAGACTGAGTGTTTGTATTTCTCCAGGGCAGGAATCGGGGCAGGGGACACGCACAACTGACTCTCCTGAATAATTAATATATATATATATATTTTAAATGTTTCATCAACTCAGTGAATTAAGGGGACCTGCAATGAACAGATGAAGTATTAGACTCTGTGGAGTGAAGACAAGCATTTAAATTAAGAAAACAGCATGATAAGATTGTGCATGCTGAGTCTAAGAACCCTTGATCTAGACATTTAATGGATGGAAGGGAAGACAAGCAGGAATATATAAAAATATGCTATTAGTGCCCTGGGGTTGTCTGAGGAAAGAGGAGTTTTCAGTGTAAGAAATTAATTTGAAAATGTTGACTTTTTGTCCAAATATTTTATGAGGAACCCTATGGCAAAGTACAGAAAGAATAGGAAACATAAAAATAAAAGTAGGGAAGGAAGATACAATATTTTAGAGTCTCTTTTTCCAGGATTTTTTTTCTCACATTCTTGTATAGTGGAGCAGTCTGCCTTTTGTAAAGGAGATCAAAGCTGTAGGAGAAGCAAAGTCTAATGAAAAGCATCTGGGTCTGGCGATAAAAGGAGCGTCTGCAGTGGGATGACAAGTGTGTAGTTGTTCCTTCTGTCAGGTCTGACATGAAACTGGAGAAACAAAACAACCTGCACCAGTCCAGCTCTCTTCCCATCAGGAGTGCTGGGCTGTGGGGGACACACACAGGTGCTGATAAACTCAGGGGCACAGAAAAGCTGCTGTGCTACAACTGGAAAGAAATGGCAGAAAATTTCAGCAGGTGCACTGCTTAAGAACAAATACGATCAAATTTTGGATTGAAAACTAACTGAAATTCAATCAGAAAATGGTGGAAGGCAAATTTTTTTTTTCATTTTTGTCTGTCTTGAAACACAAGGTTTGGGTTTACTTTCTCAATCTCTTTGTGTGGTAGAGACCAGAACTTGATGAGGAAGGTGGAGAGAAGCCTCCAGCCCCATCATTGTCCCAGCTGCATTCCACATTCCAGGTTTCCTAGTCCATATTTCCAATTTCCCATTCCACATTCCGTATTTCCTGTTCCATATTTCCCATTTCTGCTGCTGAAGCAGCCCCAGCTTTCTGTCTGTGTGTGAGGCACTGCAGGGCTGTGCTGCAGGGAGCTGAGGTTCACACAGCACCATTCCCCCAGCTCTTCCTTTCAGAACCAGCAGCAGGGTACATGAGTGAGCTGGGAAATTATTTGCTATGTGGATGGCCCTGTATTTTTTTTTTTAATCTAAATCTCACCTGCTGTTTTGTGACCTGATCACTTGCTGTTAAGCTGGTGTGGAATTTCTTATGCTATCTGTACTGCAAATATGATAAAATTATTTAGATCCTTTCAAATGCTTTGTTTAAACATGCCCAAAGTTCTCTAATGCATAGCTTAAATAATTGGTACGCTTAATGAACATGCAAAAAAATTATGTTTTTAAACATTTCATATGCCTCAACACTGAATTTTTTATTCTTTCTTTGCTGTGTTTTGCACTTTTTTTTTTGTTTTCTGTGTGAGGGGGTGGTCAGGTGGAACAGAATCAGCACAAGCAACATGGTTGCTCTATGTGAGCCCATTTTGTGCATAAGTTGAAATGTCAGAGGAGTTTATCAGGGGTCCCTGATGGCTCCAATGCTCGTGTCAGAGCTCACCAAATGTATTCTGAATTTGCAGCCCCAGCTCTGGATGAATTCACTTGCCTTCTGTTGCTCACTGTTTTTTGTTTGCTCTCTGCAAACTTCTTATAAGCGATGGGATGCTCACTGCAGAATTTCCAGAAACTCATCTTTTCACCTCATAACCATTAAATATTGGAAGTATCTCGTGCTCTTTGCTTGTCCAAGTGAATTTCTGAGACAGTGATCTGCCTCTGGGAACTGGCTATGATTATCTGTGGACCTTTGGAACAAAGAACACTAACTTGTGACTTTCAGATACTTCCTTTATGATTCTTACTCTAATATTTACCTTTCTGAAGCAGAATTAAAGGGGATTTTGGAGATGCTGAAGCATCAATTTTACTTCTGTTGTCCAGGGAACCCTGAAGTACAGTCCATTTGTGATTTTGCAGACCTTTCTGCCTGAAAACACTTCTGTGGCTGCTGCTGACTTTCCCCTGGTCATCCCTGAGGGAAAGAGGGGAGCCAGTGAGCAGGGATTCCTCCCTCCCTCCCTTCCCCTACCACAGCTGGATTAAGCAACTGAGCACTTGGCTGGAATGCCTGGAAAATTAAGAAACAAATGGGCTGGCTATGTAAGAAAATAGAAAAATCTTTTCTTGTCCCAGAAAAAGTTCCCCTAATCCTAAATTGCAATGCTCTTATCTCCATCACTGCCTGTAACTCATTTCTGTTATGTAACTGCACCATTTTGCTGACCATTTAAAAACTCAGGAGAAATTCCTCAGCTCCATCCCTGTTTTGTTGCACACTTACTCTTCTTTACTACTTCTGCTCCAATATAATCTCTGTGTAACACCTTTTGGCTCCAGATGTATTTTTCCCTTCTCTCTTTTGTATTTGTCTCATTGTTTTGGTTTATGCTCTTTCTTTGTTCTCTGGATCATGAGAGAGATAAGCTGCTTTGGAAGCACCTTTGCTGTTCTGGCCTGACAGGGAGCTAAAGCATCTTCATGATGGCTCCTCTTCCTCACAGGGGCTGGCACAAACTGGGGGGGCATCAGCTGAGACTTGTGGCTCTAACAGAACAGATCAAACCCCCCCAAATGGGTTGGGATGCTAAACCATCCCCAGGACAGCCCTGCAGCCTTTGGAGGTGGCTGGAAAGGCACAGCTTGCTCAACTGGCAATGGAAAGCTGTCATTCCATCTAACATCCTTTTCTCTTGGTTTTGGGGTTTTTCTTTTGGAGGTGTCTGTCTGGGGTTTTTTTTTACTGTGTTTTTGTTGTGGTGTTTCTGTTTTGTTTTGTTTAATTTTTTGGTTGTTTATTTTTTGTTAAGTAGCAATATGGCCTGCTCTCTTTGCTACTAAATTGTCCCACCAGCCTCCTATTTTTCTACATTTTCTCAAGTACATTTGGGGTTTTCTCCTTTGCTTCAGCTCCCTTTTTCTCACCTTTCTTGCCCCAATTCCAATATGATAAAATGGATAACTAAAATTCCTTCTCAGAATGAGAAAAAAAAAAAAAAAGTCAGAAAATTGGAATTGAAAAGTGATAACTCTGATCTGGACTCTTTCTCTCTTAGGGAGTTTGAATTAGTTTGATGGAATTTATTAGCACAAAGCAGATAACAGCAGAACTGTTGCAGTTTGGATGTAAATCAGGAGCTGAAGTTACTGATCCCACAACCCTTGGTCTCAGGTGAGAGGGGAGTGGCTGAGGCTTGGAAGGAAAGGCAAAGTGCTCAGCAATCACCTTTAACCAGGTATGTGGTGTGAAACTGTGAAACATTTATGTTGAAAAAATCTTTAATTCACAATCACAGGTGCCACATGGAATCCATTGCATTTCTCACCACATATTTTCTAGAACTGGAAAAGCAAACCGAATGCTAGAAACAAACCCAACACTGGTTCTTTTTTTGAACAAAAAGCACTCTCTGCTTTTGGTTGACTTTCCTCTCTAATCCTGACCAAGGTTTCCTGTGAGATCCTCATTTTCACCAGGAGTTTCCAGGTTCCTGTAAATGCTGACAGTACCTATTGTAAAACCATCAGTGTAACATCACTCCAGCAGAATTGCTTCTTTGCAAACAGTGCCATTTATATGACTGATTTTGACCTTTTCTCCCCTCTGGAAACCTGTGCTCTTGACATGCTGAGGTCTTTGCTCTGCTGTAGCATTGTTTAATACAGGTTTAGGTATCATTAAATGAGTATGAAATAAGACTGCCATGGAAGGGAGACATGTTCACAGCTCAGAATGTCACTGTCTTGCACGTGCTTGTTTAAATTCTCACCTGTGAGAGGATATGAGGTCTCTGAGATCAACAGTGGCTTGAAAAAATAGAAAAATATTTACAGAAAAAAAATAATCAGTGTTTCTCAAGAAAAGCCTTGAGGATTTTTTGAGTTATCAGGCTTATAAAAGCAAAGTATCTTTCAAAAAGTCACAGTGAATCAATAGGGATTTTTTTTAAACACCATTTTGTCCATGTGAATTTTATCTCAAAACAGCTGCTATTGTTTAAGGCAGGAACCCACAAGAACACATTTTTCTGGGTTTATGTTCTTTCCTGAATCATCTCTTACAGCAGAGCAGCTCTTTGGCTGTAAAGGGACCCTGGCTGGGAGCTGAGGCTGTTCTCCTCATGTGCCTGGTCTGGGATGTGAAATGAGGGGCTGCAGCTCCTGCTGGATTGGGGCTCACTCCAGCACCTTTCAGTGCCATCTCTCCATGCTCAGAATGTTTTAGCAGCTTTAAAATCGCTGTTACAAACAAAAGAAAGCTGCTCTTGAAGCAGAACGTGGGCTTTGACCCTTTCTTTGACTGCAGTTATTTTAGCTTTCATTCAATTCTACTGGAACTGCCACTTCAATCTTTGGCTTTTTATTTAATAGACCCCTGTCAAAGTCAGCATAAAACTGATTTAAAATAACTATAGAAACAGACAGAGTGTATTGTCTTCATCTTTCAGACTGATGTTTTGTTTCTCTTAGATCTTTGTAAAACTTCAGTGGAGGGGCTTGAAACGCTGCATTTAAATGCAAGAAAATCTGACATACAGAAGGAAAAAGCCAAGCCCAAACTCTGTGCTGAAGGTATGTTTTATACAATATAGTTTAGCTAAGACCCATTGAAGGAGAAACTTCAGCAGCTTGTCAGGGCTTTCTCCATCAGCTGTGGCTGCTGTTAGGGCCTGCTGGAAATATTCTGCTGGTTTACAGCTGGCAGCTCTTGCACTTGGCACTGCCCATGTGAAATGTTTAGATAAAAAAAATAAATATTTCTCTTCTCTCCCTTCAGACGTAATCATGGCAATAAATAGCAAGAAGGACAAACCATCAAATTAGTGGTGAGGACTCTTTTGCAAATGCTGTTGTCTCACTCATTTCATTCATAAAGCTGCACCAGCCAGGTGCTTGGGAACCATTTGCTGTTTTTTTAACAGCAAATCTACTAAACTGCAGTGGGTCTGTCTCTATGGCACAGCTTTATTTACTTTCACTGAAGGAAAGGGGCTGTCCTTGGCACTTTGAGCAGATGGTCTGGGCTCTCCAGTTCTACTGAGAAATGTATTTGTAAGTAAGGCAATATTTATAATAAAATTTCATGCTATTTCTAATTTTTTAATGAACTGTTTTATAAAGAAGCTTTGGAAAGTGAAGAGTGACCTTTCTGAATCCCATCTATAGAATGTTTTACAACTTGAGACTAAAGAAGATATTTTTACATCTATTTGTGAGCCTGTTTTTACCATATTTTATGGTTTAGACTTCCAAATGTTTCACAGGTCATGTACTTGTTATATTGTGCCTGTGCTGTAGAAGTAATAGCATGAATAGTTTCTCTTTAGAGGTTAGCTTGCTTAAAAACCAGTTTGGGGCACATTGTTACCTGTGGCTGATGAAATGGCATGGAAAATTTAATCACAGTTTCCAAGTTATGGTCATCGCTTCTGGAGCATTTTTATCTGCATTAGCAGTTCAGCATTATGTTTAATGTGTTCTTCACATCCCCCATGCTCAGTGGCCAGAGGGTTGGAACTTGTCCCCTTGTGCCAGGGAGTGAAGCCTTGCCATGAGCCAGCCCCTGGCTGAGCACCCAGCTTTGGGCCCCAGGGTTTGGCTGTAGGACACCGCTTCCAAAAGTGTCCCCTGGACCTCTCATCACCCCTGGACCTCCCATCACCCCAACTTTTGTGCTTTCTGTTCGCTGTGGATCCCAAAACTTCTGCCTCTGTGCAGGCCTGCCCCTCAACCTGTGTCTTAAACAGCTCCTTGTTCACATTGGCACCTTAAGGAGCTACTCCAAGAAGGAAAATCCTACAGTCCCAACAGTGAGGAATGCAGTTTGATCCTTCTTTTTAATGTTTATTTTTTCCCATGTCATCCTCCAGGCTGTTGGCTCTCAGCCTAGGAGTTGTATGATTTTTACTGGGAGGTCTAGGTCCCCAAATGCTTTAAGTAAGAGTTATCTCCTTGGCTTGGAAAAAGCTCAGCAGCATTCTGGCTTTAAGTATGGCTCTAATGTGAGGGACAGGAAGCCAAAGTGAAGTGGTGATATTTATGTGTGGAACAGAGCTGCCTCAGTTCTCCAAGAGCAGATTTTAGTGGTGAGTGGCTGCCCACAGAAACCCATGGCTGAGAGGAAGCAGATTCCCAGCACACATCAATTACCTCAGCCTTGTTCACTTGAGTGGAGCTGCCAGTTTACTGCAGGATTTGCTGCAGGAGCCTGGCACAGAAAAAGGGAATATCAGCAAGGACATCCATCACTTGTTGCACTGAAGTTTGCTTGGCACGTGGCCACTTGCTACAAATGGCCCTCAAAAGCTTTACCTCTCCTTGGAGCACGGAACTATTTAATGTGTTAAGCTTCCTGCACTCTGGGGGCTGATAGAATTCCCTTTGTGGGCAATGCTCTAGCTGGCAGGACTTTAGGATACAAATACATGTACATAAAATCAGGTGTCAAGGGCTAAACAAGGAGAAATTGGGTTCTAGTGTGAAAATGTCATGTTTTCAGCATTCTTGCAGCCACAGAAAAGCCAAGAAGCCGTGTGGGGCTGGAAGCTTCTTCAGGAAAGACACAGAGAGAGAGAAAGGTGAATTTCTCCTGTCTCCAGATTTCTGCTCTATCAACAATGCCCATCAGATGTCATATCAAAAAGGGTTTTCACATTGAACATGAGACCCTGGTTAATGGTTCAAAACTTTCACATCCTCTTTAGCTGTGCAAGTCTCCTTACCTGTAACCTGTTTGTGCTTTTGATTTCAAAAAGTTGCCAGACTGGAAATTTCAGAGCCTCTCATTAGCCATGGGCACCATGAACAACTCAGGAAAAGACAATGAGCAAAACAAACACCAGTTCTCAGTCTTTTCTCTGAGAAAGTTCAGGTCTGGCTGTCAGTTTGCAGTTTGGTTAATTATTCTTGCTCTTTGGACAACTTGTTCTTACATTTATTAATCCCATTGTGCTTCAGAGTGTCACAGCTTCTTCCCTGGCAGCATCTCCTCCATTTTCCAGTTTCCCTTTCTCATCAGGCATCAGAAGGATTTTCCATTTGACTCCACCAGAACAGACCCCTGGGAAAGTCTTGATCTCCATCCCATTTCTTTACAGGGTTTGTCATTGTTGGTGACACAGCGAGACTCGGAATTTGGGGGTGAAATAAGGACAATATCTAGTTTTTGTGTTTAGACACTGTGGAAACTCCAACACTCCAATCATATGATGCTCACAGGGCTTTTTTATGGGTTTTCAGTATTTTAAAATATTCCAAAACACTGTTTGATTAGCTTTTTCTATTGGAAAAACTAACAAAATCAGAAGAAAAACAAATGTCTGCTTTTTTTTTTTTAATAAAGAAACCAAGTTTCTCTATTTACAGTCTTTAACAAAATTGATATGAACTAGCAAACTGAGGGGTTTTTTGAGCTTTAACAGCAACTTTGGGAGAGGTGAGGTTTCCAGAGCAGGAATCTGACATAATCATAAAAATAAATGTCAAAGAGTTGTGACATTCAGAGACTTGCAACAAACTGAAAAACCCATTAAATCAGGCATGTACTCAGGTAACTCCACTGCATCCAGGCCTCTTCTTCGTTCCTTTTGGAACCTGGAAATCTTTGGATAAGGAAATTCTGGAGGACATTTTTGTGTTCTGCTTCATCCCACCCCAGAGCAGTGACATTGGTCCCCATTGTTTTTTTCACGCCTTCCAATCCCAGCCCTCACCTTGCACCTTCTGCTTCCCAACCTCCCTGGGTGCTCCTGTGCTTCCCCTCCTCCAGAAAATGCTCTTGGGTCCCAAACTTCTAATTTCCTTCTCTCTGAGTCCAGAGTGGCCCTGTTCTGTGCCAAGAAATGCACTTATGGAGATGTCACTGAGAACATCAATGCATCAGCTCTGAAGAGAGGACACAAGGGAATTTAGGGCTGAAATAGCTGAAAATAGTCATGGTCATAGGGATTGCATTGGGTGTGTGTGATATGATGATTATATGCCCCCTGTTCTCAAGTCTTCTTATTCTTGTTTTGCCTTTAGCATCTCAAAGCCATTTTGGAGAAACAAACTCTGAGTATCATTACTGCACAAATTGGTAAACTGGGTGTAAACATTTTATAAGCAACATGTTCAGTCTTAATTTTTTTGTGGTGGGATTTGTTGGGCTTTGGGTTTCTTGCTTTGTTTGTTTGTTTTTTTTTTTTCAGTGAATATGTTATTTCACAGCTGCTAGCTTACTGGGTCACAAGTTAATAGCATCTCTGCCTGGCACTGAATTTGAGTTATTACTGACTCTCATCAAGAGTTAGGCCACTGTGGATTTTTTCATTTCTAGCACTTGTTGTTATAAATTCTGTACCATCATTGTATTTCTCTGATCTTATAACATAAAGTTTATTTGATGTATCCTGAATGTGTCTGTTTCCTGATGGAATATCAGCTAGAAGTAACTTGAAATAGCAATGAACATCATATTTAAGGAATGGAATGTTAGGATGATAGCTATAGTCTTCAGCTGACTCAGTGTTTCAATTTCCTGGATTCATTGGAAAAAAAATGGAAAATGTTGTTCCCTGTGTTTGTAACAATGTTTTAAAAGAAGCTTCAGGGATAGTTATGACCTCAGTGATCTATTGCTGCCTTGAGTTAAAGCAGCAAGAAGAGGAATTTCAGGAAGTCCATTGGGATTTCAGCTGTCACTGCCTTGGGTGCTGTCACGAGAGGGGGGATGACATAATCCACGTATCTGCAAGTCCATGGCAAAAGTATCTCACATTCCCAGCAGGCATTCAAGGTATAGGAGAGATACTCACTGAATACAGTAGGAGAAGTCTTGGAAGGTTTATTAGCACCCTTGTAAAGGCAGGAGAGCTGTTCACAAACTCAGTCCTGCTTTCAGGAGCCATTTCCACAGGCTTTAGCTCCCTTTGTGTTACAGGCTGCTGTTTCTGCATCTCTCAGAGATGTCTCTGGTTTCCTCTGTGGCATCTTCTGTAAATCATATTTTTGCAGGAGACACTGGAGGGTGCTTTCTTTAGAGGCAATAACCCTTGGCATTGATAGGGCACACCAGGGAATCACACAGAACTTTGCTGATCTTCAGAACAACCCTCTGAGCAAGTAAGCATCATCACTGCCATTTTTCAAATATGAATTCTGACCTTTTGCTGTACCTTATGGCCTGTTCTGTTTAGCCTTCATATTCTGATCTTAAACTTGTAGCTGAGTGGAATCCTCATGTATTTCACATGGTAAAACCCTTATGTTCTGGTTCATGCTGCTCCCTGGGGCGTCCCAGGCAGTGTGAGATGGCCTTGGCTACCTGGAGCTGCCTCTGAGGGATCTTTTCTGAATGAGGCTCGAGGCAGAATGCCTTCCCTTCTCTGCTGCTCCCTGGCCAGCTGTCAGAAATCTCTCTGTTTAGTCCATCATCCCTCTGTGGAGGTGAATCCTGCAGCCCAGAGTGCCCAGTGGAGGCTGCTGAAGCAGCTGGAGCAGGGTCTGCACAGCTGGATGAACCTGAACGTGTTTGTACTGAGGCTGGATAAACCTGAATGTGTTTGTAACAAGACCCATGAGACACACAGAGCTGGTGCATCTCTCTGTGCTTCCAGGGAGAAATGTTGGGGTTTTGAGGTCACAGAAACCCAGAACACTCAGCTTCATGTTTGTATCTCCAGGTAGCAGAGAAATGGGAAACAGGAGCTCTAAGGGACAAGTGTCCTTGTACTCCTGGTTCAGTGATGCCAGGTGGGTAAATGTGGTGAAGACCCACACAGTTTTGTGTCAGTTCAGGAAGCTGGACAAAGGGAAGTGGGGAGGGATTTGGACAACTAATCCTGACCTGAGATCACAATCACAGGTTTCTTTACAGGGAAAGAAGTGGGGGGAACAATCCACTACAAAACCCAACGTCTGGTCTTTTTGTCTGAGCCTTACCTAGGGATGACGTGGATATGTGAACAGCATCTTTTCCCATAAAGGGCAATTCCTGATGTCATGAACAGGCCAAATCAGCTGTGCTCCATCACTGTCCCAGGGACTCAACAACTGCTGGGTCATACCTGGGAGGGATAACAACTGTGGGCTCAAAGCCCTGGCCTTCAGGAGGAGATGGGGGTACACCTGAGGATGCACTACTGGAGAATATCAAAGAATAAGTGACCAAAACTATAGAAGAGACAACAAATCCAAGGTAAGAAACTGCCCTTGTTTCATTCAAGTGTCTTGTAAAAACATGCACTATTTGAACTGCTGGCTAGAAAGATTAAAGTGTCCGGATTAAATGGTGCCAGAGGCTCGCATGAAATGGCACAATTCTGTTAACTTTACTGGAGCCTCAGAGATTTGCAGCAGGTTAGAATTTGACTTCTTACCATGTAATTATTCTGGAAAACTCCCACTGACATCTGTCAGGTTAAGGACAACTGTATTCTTTATCTATAGACATTGTAGACTCAAGATTGAAGAGCATAATCTTGACTTTAAACAGTGACACGGGCATTACATGAAATTGTTTCAGAATTTCTTTTGCTGAGCTGTAATGTTCCATATTTTATTATTTCTAAAGGAAAATATGAAAAACTGCAGGTATCACACAGAAGCAATTACCTTTGAACTCAATGTTCTTTTTGCTCAGCTTTGCCTCCTTTTTTTTTCTGCTCACTGTATTTCACATTATGCCCCAACTAGTTTAACATCAAGTGTTTGTGGAAGACAAATACAGTGTGCATATAGTCATTAAGGCTGAAATATTTGCTTTTAGTACTAAAGAGAAAAGATGTTGCCATAATTTGATGGTTATTCAGAAGAAATGGAAAGGCTTCTAACACGGAGAATGGTTTGGGCGGTTGAAAAAAGATCTAAGGGTAATTTTTGTTTCACTCCTAAAAAGAGTTCATGATAATGAGGCTGACATTTGCCAGTTGTTCTTCTCTATTTTTTACTCAGAAGGAATCCTAACTAGCCTTATGGCTGTAGTTATGGATAAGGTCATTTCTGCTTCATCCTTTTTTTGCTTCTTTGCTTCACGGTGGATTTGAAATGGAGTTTGGTTTGTTTTAACAGTTGCTGCTCATTGCTTCCAAAAGTGACTGACTTCTTACAACACAAGGGCTTCCATTCCATTTCAAATGGGGGGGGTTTGCTTTTGGGAGCACGGGGCAGGAGGGTGAGCAACTAAACCTCTCTGTATGGGGAAAATCCTGCTGCTAGCCAGGCTGAATCCCATGCCCTGTAAGCAAGAGAGTTCCACTGGCTGCACCTCCTGGTAGGGAAGGGCAGTCTGAGGCTGGCAGTGAATTCTGTATTCTCATCCTGGGGTTTGCAGGGCGAGGCCCCTGCCCTGCAGCATGGTGTGCACAGGCAGCAGCAGCTCTGGAGACAGCTCCTTGGGCTGGGTGTCTGTAACAGGATGCAGTGGAATGTGAATGCTGGAGTTTGCAGGGAAAGCAGAGCTTTTTTCTGCTTTTGGCCTGAAACATTTCTGATCCCACTTTCTGGAGCGGAGCTGAAGGTACTGGCACTTCCCCCAGTCTTCCAGTGGCTGGTGAATTCAAGCAGTTGTGCACCTTTTCTTTATTTGCTGGCTGATGTTTCAGAATGGACACAAAAGATTGAAGTCCTTAGTGTGGTACTCCTCAGTGAGAAACATTCCCATTGTTCCACCACTTTCCAAATCACTAACAGAGATTTGATAATTGGCTGCATGTGAATAAATTACCATCAGGTATGTTTAATTATGAATGGGGATGCATATGTAAGAGAGCAGAAGACATCTAAAGGAAATATGATATACACAAGAGATAGAGAAAAAGGAAATATTCCTTCTTGCTAAAGGCCATAAACTGTCAGGCACTTCAGTGATTTGTCACCTCTGCATTAACCACTGACTCAAGCTATTAATGATAAAAGCAGATAATGACAGTGCCATCCTCTAACAAAGAAGCTATTATAGCTGGGTAAATAACAAGCCCTATAAAATCATCTTAAATTTGTGTTTGCACAGCACACAGCATTTGGTAAGCTCCTGTTAGCTCTGGAGATGTTTGGGGGAGGAAACATTTTCTTTTGTGTGTTTTCTGTTGTAATATCAGGGGAAAAATGAAAGGTAAAAAAGCCCCCAGATTGTATGACAAGCTTCAGAGTGTCTGCTGCAGAGGGATAAAGCCAAAATGGCCTTCTCAAAGCCAAAGGCAAGTCTTTGGGATTGCCACAGAGCTTGCAATAGTTGAGCTGCATTTCCTCCCAATGAAGTGAGGTGTGGCAGTGCATTTTTACAGCCGTGCTGATATTCTCTACACTTCATCCCTTATTCTTTCCCTGGCAGCAGCAAAGTCCTGATGGCTGGGTGAAACAGGAGTGGGGAGTGTGCAGTGAGGGCATCCTGCTGGAGCTGTTCTGGTGGCCACAGCCACACCAGACGAGGTCCCCAGTGCCAGCAAACACCAGCCTGGGGTGGGCAGACAGAGTTATCCTTGCCACAGCAGCTGTCCACTCAGAGATACCTGGAAAGTGCTGCTGCAGGAAGAGGTGAGTGCAGCTGAGCTGCCTCCTCACATCTGGGGCTCTGCTGGGTGAGTGCTGTATGGCTGGAACAAAGAAAACGTGAGAGCAGAGCCCCAGGGAATGTCTCATCTGTGTCTCAGGAGGTACAGCTTCTGCTGGCTGCGGGAACAACTCACTCCTGGTGGCACTGAGGTGACAGCCCCCACGCCCACCCAGCCTCCCAGACAACAAGGGACAAGGTGCACCTCTCACAGGAAAGAAATTTCCTGTAATAAATACAGACAGGAAAAAGATGATGAGAATAGAGCAGTTTTCTGATTCTAATTAGTGCTTCACACTGAGAATATCGTGAGCATAAAGCATCTTGCAGAATAAAAAATTATCAGGACAACAGCAGTCATCAGTTCAAGTAATAAAAAGGCACTTAGGTATTAAAAAAGGGAATCTAGAAATAGATTTATTTAATGGGACTTTTTTCCTAGAGAAAGTTTAGCATTTCCTGCTGTACTGATGTTTATGTGAGATAAATATAAAGTATTATCAGTTGAACAGCATTAGTTGCCACTGAAAGCCTCTATCTCCTTCAGCTGAATCTGCTTACCACAACTAAAGTAACTGAGTGATGCACTTGCTCAGATTCCAATTCAATTTAGGGAAAGGGTGGAAATGAAATTGCTCTTGGCCTTGATTAGTGTTGAAAATATTGATCAAATGGCTTATCTATCAAAAATGAAAGGCTTGTGAGTGTTCTTTGAAGATAGAACATTGGTGAGGATCTGAGGGGATGATTCTAATACGTTTTTTTTTTTGTTTTTGTATGGGGACCAATGTCTGCTAGAGAAGGCTGTACTGAAAAAAAAAAAGAAAAAAAAAATGATATATTTTTTTAAAATGTTGCTTTTCTTGTGTATACACACATGTCTATGTACTCTGTTGGTCAGCAGAGCCCATTCAAGGTACAAATTGTGTCCAAAGGGGGACAGGGATAGCTCTGGAGCACAGGGCCTGCCCAGCTGCAGTCCCTGCCTCTGTGGCCATTTCCTTCTCACAAACACTGCTCACCTAAAAAACTGCCCCCCAAACGTTTTTAGCTGAACACTGCCTTCCACCTTCTCTCCCCATGGCTGAATTTCTGGTCTCCAGCCTCATTTGCTCCTTATGCTGTTGCTTCTTGTCACAGTTTTCCTGCCTTGCTCTCTCCCTCCTGCTGATCCCACTGTGGAACTGTTTTTTGGCTGTGCTGATTGCATTTCCCTTTTTTTCTGTTCTTGCTGGCCTTTATTGCAATAAGCACAGCACTGGCAGTTTCTTTGTTGACATATGTGGGATAAGATATGACAATACATTATTTCACTGAAAATTTGCCTCAAAGGATTATCCCTCCAGGGTGAAATGATTGTTTCCTCTGTTTCAGATTAACCATGCTAGCAAGGAAATATTTCATGCTTCATTACTACCATTAATCTTCCAAGGTGCCCCTCTGAATGAAAATCCATTGTTTTCTTTAACAGAGAGGGACACCAGTACAAGTTATCCCATGTAATTATACTTCTAACAGATGTATCTGTCAGGTTGCTCAGTGCTTGGTAACATAACAACACTGAATATTACATTGCAGTGTAAAATACTCTCAACTAGGTATGCAGACCTGCAGTTTTTCTCTTAACTCTAATAAAAGGTGATGGTACTTCATCTGCTGGAGTGCACAGGGAAGTGTATTTACCTTGCAAGACCGAGGGAGACTCACCTCTGATGCTGTGGCAAGAACACCCAAGGTAATGGAATGAGACTGGAAAGCA